TCAGGGGACATTGTTAGTATGTATTATTCCAACTCTGTCAGTTCTATCAGCATAAAGGATGAGCTGACAGGGCTTCGGTGCTTCTCAGGGTGCCCATAGGAGTTAAGAGACTTCACAGGTCGTGGAGTGCATCCCAGGCACTGCTTTGTATCCCCTTCATAAATCTTTTAATCTGAATCCTAAAAATAAAGATTTTTTGTTTGTAGCCTTGCCTCTTTGAGTTGAAAGCTCTTCCAGAATCTCACTTTACTGATGGTTATAAACTTTAAAATTTCTAGCCAAAATATCTTTGTGGCTGCATGTTTGTTCTTGTGCCAGTGTTGTCAGTTTGAGAAGCTTTTCTCTTTCTTCCTCCTCCATTCGCTTCTTTTCCCTCTCCCCATTCACTTACACGCATAGACAATAGCTCAGCCTTCGTTTTTGCTAGATGCATTAAGCTAATTTTTTTCTACTTGGCCTCTGAGATGAGCACTCCATTCTCCTCACCAGCACATAGCCCATCTCTTGCAGTTTGAGTTCGTGAGTGACCTGTACTGTACGTGGTATTCCAGATTAAAGCTTCCTTAGTGGCTTGTACAGAAAGGCCAATGTATCCCTGGTTTGCCAGGTGTCAGTGATGGTGCGCTGAACAGTTGGATCTGCCACGGTCCTGGCTACATCACCTTGTGGGTCCGTAATTTTGTGAGGTGTATATATATACACATATATTATAACTCTGATTTTTATTTCCTTTTTGATATTGTTAATAATCTTTCCAGGATCACCATTACCTTGATTTTTGTTAATCCTTGATTTATACTCCCACTTCTTGGCCCTCAAAACATCATTTTCTTTTTTTTGATATGTATTTCCTTCTATGTTTTACAAGTTCCTTGTGCACACGTAAGAACCTACTCTCTGTTGGCTATTCCAACCAGAAGATGATTTGCAATGACCTCTTACAGTTTTTTTCTCTTTGGTTGAAACACAAATCTAAATACATATTTACTTTTTTTAAAGTTATGTTGATGAGTTTGGTGTTATAAAAAAAGCACTCTGTCACTCTGTGTACTCTATCTGGTTGTGAAATATACAATCATACTTTAAAGATTATTTTTCTCAGTAAGCAAACATTCAAAATAAAGCAATACCTTTGAATATTCTGAACTGTTCCCATTTCACTAAAATGGAAGCTATTCTGAGCCTCGGATTCAACTGTGCAGCAGCAGCGTTTCAGAGGAACCCTGAGATGTGCTGCTGAAAGGATGTGATTTATAATATTTTTTCATTGCTATACTTAGTTATGCACATATTGTAACTGCATAAAAATGCAGTAACAAAATGTACATAGAGTTGTTTGAATGTCTATCCATTTGCACGTACAACTGTGCCTAGCGCGCATGCATGTATAGGTTAGTATTTATGTGCGGAGTGCTGCACAGAATGCCAAAAATTTGACCTTAGACATCAGATTTTGTGACTGTTTCACTTCGGGCCTTTCTGATTAAACATCCAGCTGTTGTGGGAGACTCTGTAGCTGAGCACTTGCAGAGTTTTTCCATCCCATCCTCTCCCTGGTGTTCTCCGAGCCGAGGGGGCGTGCGAAGCCCTCTGCTGTCCCCTGCCAGGGTCCCCCCTCGGTGGGAAGCGCTGGCTCGGGGCATAACGACGGGCAGGGGAATTGGGGTTTTGTCAAGGTGCGTCACAGACTTGGGATGTGACATGCCTCTCCTTTCTCCAGGAGTTTGTTCCAGTGAGAATGGTAATTACCGTGAAAGAGGGGAAAGTGCTAGCGTGGCAGTTTTCCTACTTGGAGTAGTTCGCAAAGGTTGTATCGCATCCTGAGGGGGTTTTGCCAGCTTCAGATGACTGAAAGGAAAACACTGACATTTGCACTGGTCTGATGTTCTCTGGCTCTATTTGTGGTCTTTATGTGCCTTTTTTTTTTTTTTTTTTTTTTTTTTGCTTCCCTCTTTGGCTATTACTGAGTTTTTGTTGAGCACAGCTTGAGCAGCCCTTTGCAGACACTGAACCATTAGCAGTAAATTGTACGCTTCCGGTTATTCGACTTAGCCTGCTGCTTTTGGCAGTCCTTCTTTTCTTCTCTTGTGCCCACCCTGCCCCCCCTTTTCTCCTTTTCGAAGGAGGGGAGTGATGATGTTTGGCTTCAGAATGAGAAATCATCCCATCCCTGCTTCATTCCCCTGCCTGCACGAGTGGATTTTGCATTCGTGCCCTTCTGTTCAAGGAGGAGGGTTCAGGATATGGGAATGCTGTAAATTATCAGCCTTAATTTTTTTTTTTTTTTTTTTTTTTACTGTCTGAAGAAGAAGGGAGACTGTTTGCTTTAAATTCTGAAAATTATAAAAATGTTAGGTAGCTCTGGGTACGTGTGGGCAATAGTGGCTATATTTGAAGAACCAGCTATGAGGATTTGGTTTCTTCAACCCGTATTAGGATCAGATGAAAAAGAGTTGCAAGACTGTCTAACCATGGTCCTGTGTGCAGACAACAGATGAATACAAGTGAAACCTACCTACTATAGAGACACCCTTAGCATTTGAAGTGCTACAGGGAAGTCACACGAGCCTTGATTTTGCAGGAGAATTTGCTGCCAAATCCTCTGGTTACGTAAGGACTCTGCAGAGCTCCAACTTCTAGTGCTTGATAGTGTTAATCTTACACCTAGGAATAAATGTCCTGGTTCTGTATATCTATGAAGTGATTCAATATGGTCTGACTTTTCAGTCGAAGAAGAAGGGAGACCGTTTGCTTTAAATTCTGAAAATTATAAAAATGTTAGGTAGCTCAGGGTACGTGTGGGCAATAGTGGCTAGATTTGAAGAACCAGCTATGAGGATTTGGCTTCTCCAACCTGTATTGGGAACAGATGAAAAAGAGTTGCAAGACTGTCTAACCATGGTCCTGTGTGCAGACAACAGATGAATACAAGTGAAATCTACCTACTATAAAGATACCCTTAGCATTTGAAGTGCTACAGGGAAGTCACACGAGCCTTGATTTTGCAGGAGAATTTGCTGCCAAATCCTCTGGTTACGTAAGGACACTGCAGAGCTCCAACTTCTGGTGCTTGATACTGTTAATCTTACACCTAGGAATAAATGTCCTGGTTCTGTATATCTATGAAGTGATTCAATATGGTCTGACTTTTCAGTGAAATAGGAGCGGTCTTGGTGAACGTGAACTTCCTTGTTTTTCTGTGGTGTCTCTCAGCTTTTTTAAAACCCGCTCACTGTTTTCCTGCTGATCGTTAGGCACCACCATCCGAAATTCATATGCAGTGACCCTTACAACTGCTTGGGTATTTGGTTGAATTAGGGCATGACCTTTGGAAATAATGCCATCCGAAATTCATATGCAGTGACCCTTATAACTGCTTGGATATTTGGTGGAATTAGGGCATGACCTTTGGAAATAATGGGAGTTTTTTTTACTCCATTTGAAATCAACAGGGCCTATTGGTGCCCCACACCTCTAAAGATAAGATCGTTACTGTCTGTAATTCTAAGAAACCTGTATTTGGATGTATGTGACAAGAGGGCTGCCTGCCTTGGGCTGGGGGGGTGTAGTATCTGACAGGGCTTTGGCAATTTAGGCATGGAGGTGCGGGATGGTTCCACAGCAGGCTGCTGGGCAGGTCCTCGCCGCCCGGTGAGGTGAAACCAGTACATGGAAGTTGGCAGGCCTGCTTCATGTCCTCAGCAGTCACAGCTCGGGCTCTGCCATATTGCTGTGCTCGGAGCAGATCCCCTCACAGGATCAGGGTGGGTTGAGGGGGAACTGCCCGCCCAAACCTTGTCCTCAGGGGCTGGGAGGGTGGGAAGGCTCTTCCAAGGTGCAGGGCCACCACCATGAAGGGCTCGTTTCCATTTCCCAGCCTTTTCCAGCTGTGGAAGAGGTGAGCAGAGAAGGGTGTTCCAGCTTTGCTGAGCAGCTCTGTGGCAGAGGCAGGGCAGCAACACGCTCTGCTCCTCAGCCTCTGCCGTCAGTGCCTTCTGCAGGGCCCACGTGGCGACCATTCGATCACTGCTTGTGCTGATCGCACTCTGGGCAGAGCTTGCTGAATCTATCATTAAAATGTCACTTTCATGTAGATGACAGAATGGGGGTTGTTGTGTGGCAGGCCATGAGGTAGCAGTCCTTGGCCATGGCAAGAATCAAACAGCCAGAGAGTAAAGAATGGCAGGTTTGTGGGAGTTTGACTGGCACTGCAGATCCCATGTTCCCTACTGGGCCAACAAGCCCATTTCTTTGTTTTCAGAGCTCTGCTGCAGCTCATCTTCCACAGAGGACGGTTGCTCCGTAGTGGAGCCAGAGAACTCGTGGTATTTCTGGCCTGACCTCGAAGGGCCAGCACACCTGAATGCTGAGCTAAATTGCCCTAAACACCCAGGGGGAATTTGAGTTCCTATTTGGAAACTCCAAGGACAGGATCGTTGAATAAAGCTTGACTTGGTTGTTATCCCTTTTGCAAAACAGGACATCCAGATAATTGCAGTGGCGTGTTCCTGTCCCCAGTGTGGTGACCCATGGGTGGCCCACACCGCTTCCAGGGGCAGGAGGATGATGGTGGGTGGAGTTCTTGGGGAAGACAAGGGGCTGCATCCCTGGAATGACTAATGGTGATTAAAATTGCATTACACAGTGGCAGTTGCAGTTTTGCTCAAAATCGTCTCCTGTCTGAGTGCAACTGCCTTGAACCAACAGGAATGATGAGGCTTAACAGGATGCCAGTAAGACAAGCAAAGCTTGCTATTTTCATGCTGGTGTTTTTTTAGGACCTGTGAATCTTTTTCAAATTGCAGCATGATCCATACCTGCATATGAGAAGACTTCAACTACCTATAAGTGACAGGGCTAGATCAATAACTACCTTGTTATTTCTGCAGTATGCTTTACCACTTCTGGAAGTTAAATCCAGTGAGATTATTCTACGGATTTGAGCTGTGATCAGTATGTTATAGGCATGTGTACTTACATAGTACTTGTTTGTTTTGCAGCTCCTGGTTGCTAAATCCCCTGTTGCTCCATTCTCTGCTTTTTTCTACACCATTGAGAAATCAGGCTTGGTTCTTCAAGGTAAGACCAGAGCATTGGTTGTTTTGCCTTTACAGTTGGTATTTTAAGCAGGCTGAATGTACATAACAGCAACTATTGGTGAAAATGGTGCTGTTTCTACCTAATTAAAAGTCCACATATTTAAACAGTCTGGTTGACAAGGGCAGCCTTCTGCTATGTTCAGTGTTCTGTCGTGGATTATACTGAATTAGTTGTTGCATATTCCCATGGATCTAAGAATGAACCCTAAAATTATTAATCAAGGCTCCCTGTTTTCCGTCAAGGTAAAGTAGAATGGTTCTGGCAACATTGCTCCTACAGGGTAGGTTTCTCCAGGAGAAACATACCCATCTATCATTAATAACATGCTCTAATAAATGGGTCTTTTTTAGCAAATGGCTAGGCATCAATAAAAATACAGGAAATTAATATCTGTTCTCTATTTTTGTGAGCATTTTAATGCTAATGCCCCGTGGTCGTAAATAATCCTCAGATTCTCTAGGATATGAGGTAGAGTACTGAAAAGCTGGATATTACTACCATGATAGCAGGGAACCTTGTGGCCATGTCCTAAATCATGTGCTTCCGGACCACAGCAAAAAGAGAAGTTCAGCTTTTCCTTTCTTTCCCTGTTTATCCCAATAAATCTTCCTTTAATGTCCTTACTGTTTGACAGACATTCACAGATCAATTTCGTTGAGTTGCTGTCTGTTGATAGGCAGCCTGGTTCCTGATTGCAGCGTCAGTTTAGCAAACTAAATTAAACTAGTCAGTGCCTGTCACTTTCTGTTCAGAGGATACACTCTGATGTGCAGCCATGGCATTAAGAAAAGTGAACATCGCTGTTTCTCAGGTTTCAGTGATTGAGAATCACAGATTCCATAAAGCACTACAAAGATTTTAAGGTATGTGAACAGTTCTCTTCCTTCTGATTGCTCATTTTGCACAGGCTGTGCCAGACCAATAACATATTTACATTTACTAATGACTTAATACACTTACATCTCTGGTGATACATGTAGGAAAACAGAAGAAACAAAAGCCTTTTTTTGTGCATTTTTGCTTCCATTTGATACCTCTACATAATGATAATGTGGGGGTCCATCCAGTCTTCCCTAAACCTTTGGATACTTTACCCAGTGTGTTCTGAGAATTTGGTCTGCTTTACCAGTACTTTTAAACAGGCTACAGGAACTAGAAACAGTTTTTATTAGTTTAAACTGAGATGACTTGCAAGGCTTGGTCTAGACGTGTTTTGATTCAGTACAGGGCAGAAGACAAGTTACTTTTCTATCTCAGGTATCTTCTGAGTTGCAGAGATGTTTCTGGTCGTTATTTAAAAAAGGCAGACAATTTCCTGCTCTGTCCTCAGGCACTAATGTGAGGAAACTTTGGGAAAGAAAGATTTTCCATTTTAGAAACAGGAAGCATTTGTTCAGAGGAGATCTTTATTTGTTTCAGTTCTTTTCTGTGAGCCAGGAATACAGTTTACCAAGGACTGAACCCTACCTTTAAAGAACAAATGGGCCTGGTAACACGTAATGATGATGGAGCAGGACTCTCTGATAGAAGGACAGCACTATATTAGGATTATGGCAATTGCTGTTTTCCCTGTATCCATATGTTTCTGTGGTGCACGTTTAAAACATTATTCACCAATTTTCTAAAAACAGGTGAGATACCAGTTTGGATTTTTCTAAGTAAATGCTGTCTCAATATCAGACATACTTTGTATGTTTTGGAAGGTAGCTTGAAGCTCTTCTTTGTGTGAGCCTTTTTTTACTTTCTGACTATACCATTATGTTTCCATTTTAGTTACTTGTCTCCAAGATGGGTAGTAACCAAGAGCATAGTTCCCCGATGATGTGCCCCAGACTATTTTACAAAGACTTGTAAGCGCTTACATGTGAGCTGTCTCACTGAGTAAATACTGCACACAAAATAAAAAAAAAAAAACCAAACTCACAGAGTAAATATTGCATATTCTCATCCCACACACATTTCAATGATCATTATTTCTGTGGAAGGAGGAAGTGAGCAAATCACCTGGAAATGGCGGTTTTGGGTAAAATGCAGAAAGTGGTGCCAGGCTGCCTTGTGCAAGAGAGGGTAGATTTTTTATGAGAGTTGTAGGTGGTGCTTCTTTCCAAAGGGAAGCTGGATGCCCTGTAAGATGTCAGTAAGGCAACTGGCCTCAGGTCAGCCAGCGAGGGGGTGTCCCTGCGTTGCGGCCTGAGGGACATCGTACAGCGCTAACAAGTCGAATCTGTCCCCCAGCCTGATTGCAAAGGCAGCTTTCCCATTCGGGCTTTGTTGTTTAATTCAGTTGGTGTCAGGAGGTGAGCACATTCAGGGAGGCTGATGGGAACAAGTGGATGGGTGTGGGAACTGGTGAGAAGCAGCAGCTGGCTGAAATGCCCGGGATTCTTTCTTCTTACGCAGGGGGTCCCATCCCGGGACCATTAACCAATAGGCCATAAACAAATTGATATCGGAAAATGTGGCTGGAAACTCCTTGATTAGTGAGGGTGAATGGGGAATGAAAGACAAAGTGAAAGTGTGATTTAACAGTTCCACAAGCAATTTCCATTGCCACCTCTGAGGGATTAGGATGTGTGGAATGGGCTAAAAATGAGGAGGAGCTCCCCCCCCCCTTTTGTTCTGTGGGCCGGAGGATAATAAAACGGCAGGAGAGGCAGTGCGGCTAGTTAGGGATTTCACAGGCTGCTATTTGATGCAGTTTAAGGAGCCCTTCTGCTATTGTTGCAGTTAAAATGGGAAGCGGAACTGTTCTCCATTCGCAAAAATCTCCAGCGTCCTCAGGAAGAGGGCTGAGAGCAAAAGGCTATTAAGATGGTAATGCTGCCCCATTTGGAGGAGTGTATCAAAATCCTCTTTGTCAATGTAAATCGCTGCTCTGTTTCCCTGGTATCTTTGCATCTCATGGCCTCGAGAAGTGTTCAGAGGAGACCCTAGTGAAGGCAGAACTGCTTCTCTTACACTGTCAGAGCAGAGCTCCGGGCTTCCCAAGGGTGCCATGGAGAAAACTTCTTTGCTTTTATAAACTTGAAGTGTTCAGGGATGAAAAGAATCCAGTTATTCAGTCATTTTTTTATTTCCACTTGCAGACTAGAGAAGTGAAATTTCATGATTGGAAAGCAAGACTGGCCAGTCAGAGATTTAGTGGGGAAAGTCATCCTTCAGTCTCCTCCTTTCATTGCTCCAGTATGCTCTGTGCAGTGGAGAGGGTGGGGTGCAGAGCCCAAAAAAGCCTCAGTTGGCTTTACATTGCAACACAATGTGGTGTAGTGTACTGCCGTGCCATACAGTGCCACTCCGTGATGAACCCGAATTGTGATTGCAAAATCCAGTCTGACAGCAAATCTCCATTTCGTAGAGATCTTAAACAGAGAGGCAGAAGCCTGGATCTAAGCATTACAAAATAATGGAACCTTTACTGTCTGCTTGTGTATTCCATTTAAGGACTTGCTGTTGCTTCCCTGATTCAATATACTAGTTACAGTAAATTAAGTGATACTGTCAAAAAGAAGAATAACAGTAAAAAAGCTCCAGATCTACTTGATTAAGGGTGCAAGTCACAAGATGATTTTTCTCATAGGCAGTGATATAGTTTCTGTTTTGGACTGGAAATTATTAGCTGGTAATTCTGTTCCTGGTCTATCAGTCAGAACAGATTCTGGGCTGTTTTGCCCTGTTGTAGTTTCATTGAAGCCAAATGCAGCACACTTACTGGGTTAGGTCAGCTGAACTAGAAGATACCACTCAGCCACTCACATGCATATCCAAAAAGAAGAGGCTGAATAATCTTAAACTGTATTCTATGGACAATCATCCAAATCTAGCTTTAGAAGCAGCAGCATTCTGGGGCATAAATGCAAGTTAGCAACAGACCCTAGCTATTAGTGACTGGTAGCTCAGCTGTCTATGGAAGTAAGTCTCATTCTATCATGGTGCTGCAGAAGACAGGGAACATGGTGGCTGGTTGCCAACTGGAGAGTGTATTGGGCTTTTTCGCTGAATGCTTTAACCAAGTGATTGACATTGCTTGTCACTGAAAGATCTTGGAAGCACTGAAAACATAAAGGAAATAATACTGGTGAGCTAGGACATGCTTTTGAGTGTTTATTTATTTTCAGTTTCATAGGGTTTAAAGATGGATGGAATCAGCAGTTCATCCAAACTGACCTCCCATGTATCATGAATGTTTCCTTCAGGTACCCAATAGCTTGTTACACAGAAGCATATTTTCTAGAAAGGTATTCACTTTTATTTGAAGACATCAAGAGATGTGAGTTCCTGGTTTGCCCTGACAGTGTTTTCAAGCTTTAGTTACCTTGTGTTACTGTGTGAAACACAGTAATCTGTGTTTCAGATTAGAATTTGTCTGCTTTCAGCTTTTGGCCTCAGTTCTTGTTATGACCTTCAGTGCTAAGCTAAATAAAGCACTCTTGCCATTAAATGTTTGCTGTTTTGCATGACGTTACTTGACATTAAGATTTATCCTGCTATCTTTTATTCTTCCTTTTGAAAGGAGGTTATCTGCAAATTTAACCTCAAAACTTGTGTCTCATGCTGACTGACTCCTCTCACTACCCAAAGAAAGGACAAAATACCTTGTATTGCTAAAGGGAAGAGTTTGGTTTTTGTGGATTGGAGTGGATGATTAGTTAGTTGATTAATGCACCCTGCCCTCTTTTCCACTGCACATGTGTCCGTGTGTGCACAACCACGCTCACCTTGCCTGTAATGTCTTATTGAGATAGGTGGCTTCTGATAAGTAGAAAAAAAAGATATGTGGCACTTGGAAGAGAGTGTCTTAGATTTTAAGTTTTGCAGTACTAAGGGGGAAAAGATCTAGGAACACCTAAATCTTGGTATGTTTCATTTGTCACTGATGTAATGAATGAGGCTCATTTTGATCTCAGAACAGCATAGGATCTGGATTAGTAGTGCAGCATGGCAAACGGCCTCCAAAGTGCTATAACTAATTTATATGGCTG